CCAGCCATCATTTCATACATCAGCACTCCAAGTGCCCACCAGTCAACCGATGAGCCATAGTCGATCTCTTGCAATATCTAAAAAACAGCCTAAAGCAACAGACAAAGTAACGACCATGAAATTTTCTGTGCCACTAGTGACAAACTTGAGCACTGCTTCCGTTAATGAGTGTCAAACGATCATTAAAATCAAACAAAAATGTCAGATCAGAGTGAATGATGGCATCGGAAACTGACTCAACTAGTGACCATCGCTATATAATCACATGCTTTAAATATACTTTATAACTAAAATTAATTATTTAACCTTAGGTTATACTACATACTGAAACTATTATACATTCGCGCTAATTAAGGATTAATTTTTAGCTAAATCAAGGGTGCATCAGAAGACTTTTTTCGCTACTAATATAAGCATTAAATGACCTCGTTCACAGATCATCGACAAGCTATTGCTTCACAGACGATTACACAAGACCAAGAACAAAATTTAAGCTAAAAAGAACTCGCATTCAGTCATGAAGCAGAACCTGGCAGCCTCGAAATCTGAGGCCGAAAGCATTTCCCTTTTGTAAAATCTGAGGCAAAACATGAAGTTCTGCGCGCTATTGCGTGCATAAGCGACTAAAAAGTCAAAATTTTAGCTTACACTAAAAAATCTCCAATGGATGGAGACACAGAAGACGGGTTAGGAGACTATAAAAGCACATAAGACACCCGCGGAACATTCCACCCTCAGGTCATTTATCAAACAATTGCGTCAGCATTGGAACGCTTTAAAAAAGTAACAATGTCGAAGGTTTACAAGTATCGATCAAACGGTTTATTTAATGCGAAACACATTCAATCAGGCACCTAACCGAGAGCGACGTTCTGATCCGTATCTTATGGGCCCTTCTTCAAAATGGAGTGGTGGTAAAGTTCGATGATCTCGTCGAAACATGAGTATCAAACAATTAACTGATTGAACAAGCGTGTTAGCACAAAATACGCGCTGTAATGCTATTTTTCACTTATTATCAACGCATTGACGCGTAACAAACCAAATACAATGCGTATTAAACCAAATATAATTTATACGATATTACTGCAGGAAAACATGAAGTTCATAAGACTACGTTTGCAGAACACTCTAAGGCAATTATGATGCTGGATAAAGTCATAAGTCATAAATATCTTGATGGCTCTGATGCAGCTGAAAGATCTGTTATTGTCTCGTACTTCTTTGTCGCTCAGCTAAATATTAAAAATTCTTCATATCTCAAACTCATACAACTATGGCATGAGAGAGCTATGCAAGAGTAATGTTAAGAACGTCAAATGTTTCGGTGCTTAAGCGGATAGAGTATATTTGATTTAATATTCACTGCATTTAGTTCGTGCTTCAGTAATCAAACTGAAAAATAGTGTTGATGTATGTCAGGCTAATTCCTTTGTGGATACGGTTGTTCCACGCATTCCGACGATGGACTGTTCTGCTGTGGTTCGATACTGAATAACATAAAAGTGACAGCTCGTCTGACATATTTAAAACTTAAAGTCTGAAACAGTGCTTCCATAGCGACACTCGAAAAATTTTAACTCGATGTCAATGCTGCAGTAAGTGGCAGTGACAAAGTAAAGGACACTCCCATAAGGGTCGACCAGAAAACACGAATATAAACGTTAAACGTGACTGCTTACGAAATTCTACTGATCTTGAACAGTAGTCTTTTGCACTAAAGTTAGAAAACATGTATCTGTGTTTAACGAAGGATAAGTTGTTCAACGGTAGGACATCGAAAGTGACAAAAGATCATAGAATGTACCTCAGGAGCGATGTAATCAGGAGTGCCGCAGAAGGTACTCGTCAGCACTCCACCGTGAATGCCTTCTTTGCACATACCGAAATCAGCCAATTTCACGTGACCCTCCGCATCAAGTAAGATATTATCCAGCTTAAGGTCTCTAAACAATCGAGCATCAAATAACGGACTGAAAGAATCAAGCAGTAAAGACAACACCTGTAAATGACGCTATTCCTGTGCAAAAATTGCAGAGCGCAGGTGACCTCAGCGGCATAGAACCTTGCTCTGGGTTCATCGAACTTTCTTGCCTTTTGGATCTGAAACATGAGGTCACCGCCGTTGACGAATTCCATGACGAAAAACAACGAATCCTATAATTAATTGTTTCTTGCACCAACCACGCAACTGGTCACCCAGCAGAGGTACGTGTCTATTTACTTTGGTCTGGAAGCAGGAATGCAGCGCGATGAGAAACGGGTGTTTAACCGCCAATATCAGAATGCGTTTTTCGACCATGGTACACTCGACGTCATCGTCTTGCAAAATAACGTCCTTTTTCAGAATCTTCATCGCATAAACCTCGCCAGTGTCACGGGCTTCCACTAGAACTACCTAAATTTGATTTAAATTAATATTTTAAAACGACAATTTAAACAGAACGTGAGAAAATGGTGAACTAGTGCCGAATATCATTCAGTTGTAACATTTCAATCCATTCCGTATAATAACAATTTGACAGATATCCTCAAAACAAGGTTCAGAAATTCACTCGCAATCCCATATCTATAAGGTAAAACGAGTTTTAAATCTGGAGGAAACAAGAATTTAGAACCATACAGAACTTTCGAACTAACCCTTAACATGGTCTCCATTCAACTAGTAATAAAAAGCCGTTCTGCGTTAAATGTCGCAGCTACATTCTTACAAAGACAACCGTTGTGAATAAATTTTCACAGGTACATGTGTCAAAAGGCTAGTCACAGCAACTTTTCTGGGTCAGAAAAAAATAATACATATACTACACGGAGTAGGTGTAAAGGAACGATTTGAAACAAAATTCAATTAAGACAGGTATTTCAGCGAAAGTGCATTAACTCATGTCCCAAAAGTTACCATCGAATTGACGAGGTTCATCTCACGTGACAGATAATCAAGGAAATCTACTGAAACTGATGAATTAACAATCGCTGCTCACACCTCCCAGCAAATGCAGGTACCCCGGGTTTGTAGAAACAAGGAAGCATGGTAACGTGGAGGCTAAGGCATTGACTGATCATAACGGTAGTGACAGAAACTGATTCATGCAGATAGCTCAAATTTGTTTGAAAATGAAATCTACAAATTTAACTACGTTAGAGTTATGATAAACTGTGAGAGTAAAACTTTGGCATGAAATCAATGTAGAAACTGCAAATGGTTCGTTATTACTAACTGGAAATTACCCACTGACGCAAGATCGCTGCATCCTTGGCGCTATTGTTTGCCGCACGGACAACCGTGCGCTTGTGCTGTCAAGGCCATATTTAATGGCCAATCGTCTCGCCACGAGGTGATTAGTTCGGATATGGACAGGAGAGAAGAACTGATTGCAATTAACTCGAATAATCGAATCTTGCTTGAAAGCGCTGCTCATGATCTGTGGAATAATCTTGGTGATTAACAAGACACCCGGTTGTGTTCAACTTTATGTTTTGATTAAATCGCCGACCTTGTAACGTGTGTCAGATATGCCGCTGATGTAGTTCTGCTCTTGGTCGTCCAAAACCTTGCTTATTTTTAGAGGTGTAAAATACAATGAAAAACTGACGGTCAAAAGTAGAGGTCTGATAAATAAATACAGGGAAAGTACACCCAATTCGTCTACCAAAGAACTATTCCATCAGCATGACTACTATCTACAGATATCCCGCCGAATGCAAACGGAGAAAAGGCCATTACCAGGCGTACAATAATGAAGTGTTTGAACGATTTTTGGTAAGCAGCGCCGTCTTCCAGTGATAGTTAATTTCTTTGGTATTCGGTTACCTGCTGCCATTGGTAACCCATGCAAATCCAACTGTTTCTGGTCGGTTCCTGGAGTGAGGCATTTAGCATACCATAAAATTAGAGCGCATCGCCTGAACAATAATCAGCAAAACCACGCCGTTTGTGCAGTCTGTTACTGACACACTAGGCAATCTGTTGATTACAGGATTTCGTTCAGCTGCTTCTCCGAGTATACCCAGTAACTAGACGTTAAATTAAAGCCAATGGAAGTGAACCCAAGATAAGTCGCCGTTCATACTTATCGTTCATATCGAGGACTCTGCTAGAACCGGACGAAGAGGAGAGATTCACTGCACATAGGTTCAGCTTGCAACGTTGAGAAAAACATGCATTCATATATTTTATCATTATTTTCTATTATTTTAAGCAATGAAAACACGTTACGCTGATAGTAACTACGTTGCGAATGCAAATCAGCTTCTTACTGTTTTGAATTCAAAATTCTACAATTTTCTATTTAAAATTCTAAGTGATGAAAAGCTTAAAAGCAACAAAAATACAGAAAAAAGACAACGCCCCAATTCACCTTTCCGAAGCTGCCTTTTCCGAGAACTTTAATAAAGTTGAAGTTGGAAAGTGACAATTTCGCAGGCTTTTCGGTGTCTGGTGTAGATCCTTTACAAAGATTGCCTTCTGATGGCTGGCACGGCTCAGTAAAAGAGCCAGAAAGTTCAGTACTAACATCATCTGCCAAAGAATCGGCTTCGCTGCTGAGCGACTTCAGAGGTAGCGGTGCGGTTTTGGACCGTCTAGATTCACTACCATCAACGAAACAAGTCTGAAAACATATACGGTTCATGACATATCACTGAACGAACCGAACTTCATAGGCTGATCTCCATAAGAAATTACAGCAGTACCTTTTTTCTCTGCTTGGGCCTCAAGGTCTGACCTGAAATGCCCATCTGAGCCAAGATTTCAGCCATTTCCTTTGAGTTGACGCCGCACGTGTTGGCAACGTTTTTCTCGCATCTTTTATGGACGTTCAGTTTGCATGCTAAACAAAAATCGGCAATGATCAATGACAAGTTAAACGAATGAAAACGAACAAACCTTCGCATTGCAAACCTTGCCGGATAATACCATATAGCAGTGAACCGCAATGGTCACAAAACGTTGGCCGTTTGTAGTTATGCACAGAAAAGCGATGTGGAATATTGATGTTGAATCGCGTTTCAGCAATAATCTAAGCATTTTAGAGCTAGAAACCTTCCATGAAGCCAATGTTTAATGATGTGCAGCTTTCACGGTAAGAAACGCTTTTATAAAGTCTTACAGAAAAATTCACTGTCGCTATTAAACCATCTCTAATGGTCTCTTGTTGCATAACAGCAATAAAGCCAACACACATTTCGCATTTCAAGATACCGCCGTATTCTAATCACCGATATGAAGAAAGTGGAAGACTAAAAGCTATTGCAAGCACCTTCGTTCCAATCTGTTAAAAACAGCAGTTACGGTCTTAAACCTCAATGTCACTCTAAAACGACAATCGAAGCGAATTTCAGCCATGACCATGGGAGAATGCAGCCGCTCTCGGAATAACTTGAAGCAACGCTAGAACACATAATCAAGTTCAGAAAACGCGCGTGAGTTATCTATACGCTGATCATGGTCCAAAACATCAACACAGTCTCAGCGGAACGAACGGAAAAACAGACACCAACCCTCTGGGTAATGTCTAACTCATAGCTGAGTACTTGCACACTGTACCAGAGCAACCACAGTCAAAGCTTGGACGCAACCCTCAACAACACCCTGAGGCGCATAATAAGAACACGACTCAGCATTATTCTGCCACGGTGTTTTGTCAGTCATCTTTAACATCGTCCATTTTAAATGTGAACGAGTGAAATTTGCCTATGAGAGTGCCACAAAGTCTAGAAGAGAAAGACCTTCCGATCCATCAGGATCCGCGAAAATGTCCTTCACTCTGATTCAAACTAAGTAAACCACTTGGATAATTTGCTCACGTCATAGCGTTATCCTTGAACCTTAATGGGAAAGGATAAAACTTAGCAACTTCCAAATTAAAAATTTGTAATTCATGACTAGATTCATATGCCACAGGGCTCCCACTTAAAGAGAAAACACAGATTATACTTAATCGATTTCGCAAGATGCCTACCAAGACCGCATATCATATCAAGATGACGGTACAAACACAGTCCTACGAGTGATTGTGACCTCGCAAGACAAGAGGCCCTACAGTCAGTCCCAGCAAAGCAGAGCATCAAAAGAGAAGGATAATTAACGTGGCAAGCGAAACAGGATTTGCATATACTATTTTTGTACAATAAGAAAGTAGAAGATTAGGCATAAAATGAAGCTATCTGTGCTTGAAAATAACAAATGGAAAGGAATGGAATGGTAATCATATTAAAGGACACTTGTGAAAACATTAACGATACGGAGAGTAATATGGTTAAATCCAGCGCATTAGCATGAAAAACTGAACCTCTCATATGAAAATTGAATAGATTAGCTAGTCAAAAGTTGCCTCAAAACCAGGAGGCAGCAGAAAGCCGACTCAACGCTTCGCATAGCGCTGCATGACGTCCCTACATCTATGCATGGCTTTTACGTGATTCACAAGCCTAATTAGATTAAGGCTTCAGCAGAGGTCTGGTAAAACGTGGTCAAGTGCATCTTTAGTGGATATTGGTAAAACCGAGATTTACCACAGCTAGGCCATACAAAACAAGCGGAAAATCTGAAGAATAATCGTCCAAGTCAATGCGGCAATGGTGCTATCAGACCGCGCGACGTAATCTTCGACCAGGTTCGCTATTACAATATATTACAATGCCCGATAGTACTGTAAATGTGATGTGGCATGTACATCCATTATTAACGAACGCCAGACTAAACTTGATACGACAGGACAATTACAGGCTTCTGGAGCATCATTTGTGACGAATAATACAACGCCTTAGCAATTACATGATGCACGATAGATCTACGAACAGTAGGCGCTGAAGTTACAAGGAGTCGTGCGATTATGTAAATTGGATTTAATAGATTCTTGTTTATTTTTCTAAAAAAAGTGAGGAAGCTACATCAATAAATTCATATACATAATGGAAATAATAAATAAGTCGAAACAACGTGTCGTTAAAATGTTACACTTTGTTGCATTTTAAGTACAATATTTTTTGGACCATAAGGCGCACCGGATTATAAGGCGCACTAACTATTAACGCACTATCTAAGATCTTTTTTTCATATATAAGGCGCACCGGATTATAAGGCGCATAAAGCGAAACAAAACAGTCGGGTAGATCAGACTTTATTCAAC